TGAATTCCAATGGCCACACGTGCTCCATGTCACCTCGTTCGTGTTGTCCATGTGTTAGGCTTGAAAATTCACTACACGTGAAGGGGCGTGTGAGAATGTGAGGTAAAAGAGTGTCACATTGGTAAAAGGAGGAACCTTGCAAGGGCTTATAAGAGGTTGGGCTACCCCCAATATTGCCAATTAGTTTTATGGTGGAACCTCAACCTTCTTCATCGCCTATTTGAACAGTCACAACTAAACCACGTCAACATCTTTTGTTGAACTTTTTATATAGAGAGACACAAAAATGAAAGTGAGAGAAGATGAGAGGGAAGGGGAGGAGATTAATAGGGAGAGAATTCTACTCCATTTTAAGACACGCACATTAATAAGGAAACACGGTCAATTGTGATCACCAAGCATAGCACTAAGAAAAATAGTTATATGTAACCTGGCAAGAGAGGATTCTTGCATACAATGCCAATTTTATGCACATACCAATAACTTATAACAGAGAAATAAATCTCTTACAATACATAATTGATCATATAACAAAACAAAATTGTTACAAGTGAAGTGAAGCGCTATATATTTGTGGTATGTAATAATTTTCAAGTGACCGATGTCAATGTAAAGTCAAAACCCTAACTATTCATGTGCCAGCAAGAGCGAACCCAAGCACTCTTATATGGGACAGAGACATAGTGCATGAAAATTAACATGAGAACCCTATCTTATAAAATGAATGTTCGTGATGGAGCTTTGTCTCGCAACGTACACATACTAAAAAAATGCAATGTGCACAAAGTTTGCCGGACCACTTGCCTAAATGAAATACTGTGTGCATGCTATTACCTTTGTATTCCTAGGCTTGCAGGTTTCCTAGCTGGTCATGATTCATACTAAAACAAAAGTTCGGTCGACTTACGGCATATATAGTTGGATTCTCAGTTTAGTCAAGTCTTTAGTCTTATGCCATGAACTGATGAGACCATATTGTTCAGATAAAATTATAAATGATGGTGATTCAAAGAAAAGCAGGAACTTGTAATTACTAGAAGAGGTGCAAATTGAATTGAAAATTATCATTTTATTATTTTTTTTTTTTTGGTACAATCAATATTTCTACAGTAAGGAGAGGAGAGTTCAGGCTAAGTTACACAATAGGTAACCTAATTTGGTATCGAATTTGCCATCCACGAGATTCGAACCTAAGACTTCTCACTTTTAAGTGAAGATGAATACCACTAGACCATAATACTAAGTGACATCATTATACTATTAAAAGTTCTACTCCGAATCTAAATACTTTAAAAAAAAAAATAGACGAAAATTAAATACATATAGAGATTTTGAGAATTCCGGTTGAACCAAATCTTTTTGAAATTTGCCTGACTTATCCTGATAATTAAATGTTCCAACATTTTATGGTTGTTTACTAAAATTATGTATATTTTAAGGAATATTTAGATTTTATCACGTTTATTGTTAGTTTTGGACATGTTCTCATAGTTTTTATATTTAATCATACACCTATATTATTTTATTAGAAAAATTACACATAGAGTATATTTTAATACTTAATTATATATTGAGACAATCCTTTTTAAACATTACAAGGATAGACAAAATTTAATACATATGAAATATGACATCATTGTCTGTTTTTTTTATCTAGAGTGTAAGTTACAAAATTATCTTTTATAGTAAAAAAGTTTTTTTCCACACTTTTATATCTTCTTTTATTGCTCCATTCTCTCTCTTCTTTAAAGAAATATTGGTTCAAATTCATCCGGCTCATTAGCTGACCTGGAATTTCACCACCTATAACATGACAATGTTCATTTTTCACACAACCCACCGTTTAAAGAATTGTAAAATAAAACATATTGGGGTTTATCCCACTATCTCTCCTTCCTCTCTCCCTTATCCAGGAAAATAAAAAGGTAAAAATCACCACCACCTGCATCAAAACGTCCTCCACTGCTACTCTCAAGATCACCCATTTGATATTGATGCCCTCCACCCAACAACCACATCATGCCCCCCACCATGAACACCCACCCGAAACTCTAGTCTTCATATTGAAATATGAATTTGGTACCTTGTGCTTCTTTTCTTTAGTTATGCCCAATTGAAATATAACTTGAAAGAGACGACATAATTCTGAAATCAAATAGATTTGAATAATGTAAATGCAAAAATCTTTTTTGTTCTTTCAGTTTCTCGGAGAAGGAGAGACTAGTGGAGCACAAACCCCAAAATGTTTTTTTTTTCTCCCTTTAAGCAGTCGGTTGGTGTTAAAAATGAATAGGTGTTAAGTTATGTTGGTGGACTCCAGGTCACCTAATGACCTCGGAATCTAGAATAATTTCTCTTCGTTTGGGTCACTATTCAGCTAATATGCATTGTTGAGAGATCTAATAAATGATATGGTTTTATAGTCACAATTTAAAAGAAACTTTTCTGATAATTTGATTCCTCCGTGGTTGACAATTGTGATCAAAATGGTTGAATTTTTTTTTAAAAAACTTTTCAAGATAATATTGGTTTTTTGTTATTATTTTCTTGTGTATTATAAAAATGGTCAAGGATGGGATGAACTGATTCTACAAAAATATCAATGTCAGGATGAATTGATTTTGTAAAAATGGTCGACGACGAGACGAATTGATTCTGCAAAAATGGTCGAGAACGGGTTGAACTGATTCTACAAAAATAGTCGATGACTGATTGAACTGATTCTGCAAAAAAAAAAAAATCGAAGATGGGTTGAATTGATCTACCTAAATTGTCCAAGACAGATTGAACTAATTCTGCAAAAATGGTCGATGACGGGTTGAGCTGATTCTAGTAATAAATGATACAAATTGATTATGCATATAGTTTCAGAATTGATTATGCAGAAATATTCAAGGATGAGTAGAGTTTATGGTACATATTAATTTTGTTTGGAGCTGTGAGGGTTGGGTTCCTAAAGCCTTAGGGGTATGGTTAGTATTTTAAAATATTAGTTCCATGTTTTTAAGATGGGCTTTAGTTGTTTTTATGTTTTTGTTTTTCCTTAACATGTTTAAAAACTAGTGGAGTTCCTTGAAATATAGTGAAAGTTTTTATCTCTATATATAAAGCTCCTTATTTTATTTTGTCTTATATGTATCTATGCTATAAACAATATAAACATACTGTTATACTAAATTTTTTTATTTAGATACCCTAATATATACCAAGTACTAAGAAAGAACATTAAATTGTATATGCAAAAATGTTCGAGAATATCGAAAACTTGTAAAATTTAGGAATGCTGAAATATGTTTCAAAATTATGAGAAAACTATCATTTCAAAATTTTGAATTTGGAAAATGCTATTTGAAAGTATTGGGAATGGAAATTGGAAATTTTGTTTTCAATCTGATCCATGCGAAAATCAGCCATAACTTAGGACTGATCGTCTTTGTTTCATCTTATAGAATACCTATTTTTTTTTGGAGATGCAATATGTTGGACAATTGTCAAGTTTAATTAACCACCATTGTTTTGTTTATCAAACATGAAACATGATAAGTAGTTCATTTTATATGTCCATGTTCTGTCTAGTCCTACCTACCAGACAGGACCTTAAACCCCGCCGGAGAAGGAGAAACTTTGCCCACGGATTTGAGAAAAGACAATTTAGATCTCATGACGCAAGAACACAAATTTGCTCGTGTGTTCGTTCAATCAACATATGATGGTGATGCGGTGATGTTAGTGTTCATAGATATCAATGACTCAACGAAGCCAATTAACCATATAGGGATAACATGAAGAAAAGCGTTTGGGATTTCATGTGAATGGATGAAGGTGACAAGACAAACACCAAAAACTAGTCAATAGGACTCACCACAATGCACAAATTCCTCTACTAAGTGGCCAAGTTGAAAGAGCACTTGACCTTGTTGAGGCTGAGAAATTACACCATCTTGTGCAAACTCTCTTAGCTACTTCTTGTCGTGGGGCTCTTGAGGTACTAGGGTTATCTAGTTGGGCACTTGATTACTTACGCACGTGTGGAATGAAAACTCTCATCAAGTTGCAACACGTAATGGGAAGTTTGTACCTTTTTGTACCAGATAGAAGATCACTAATTATCAAAAGGTCAACCCTAGATTGGAACAAGTGCTACACACCCATGCTTGTAATGCAGTAGTAATGGAAGTTGAAAGTTGCCTCATTTGATGGAACTTGTCGATAAACTTTGACAATTTGGCATGTAGTTATTCACTGCTGGTGGCATTTGGATATGCAAGTGTCTAATTTTTGGGAAGACTGTTGGATTATGACAACTTTTGTACTGAGTGAAATAAGCATACCATCGGATAACTGTGGCTTGCCATCAATTGTTCCATTTTTTAAGGAAAAAAAAAAGCATACAGTCAAATGAGATCAAAATATGAATTTCATGTTTTTGTGAGAGATAGATGACGTTAATTATCAAACACCTCTACTCAAGTTTTTCTTGTGATTTGTGAATCAGATTATAAAAAAACTCGAACTTTTTCAACTTTTGATTGCCTTCACGATCACCATCACCGTCATCATCTCATAAGAGAGCAACATGAGCCATGCTTGTTGTTCATTCACTTGGCCCGATCCAAATGTCAGGAGAAGTACATTTCGTCGTAAAAATGGTATCTGTTTGCTAATTCAGGTTAGCCTTGGATCTGAAATCTAGAAAAAGGCTATGATTGTTAATGGGAAAAAAATGACACAATTTTTGGGATGATGATCAATGGTTAAGGAAGTGGTTTTTCTTTTCAAATGGATGTTAAGGCCCATCAGTGTACCTTGCGGTCCAAGAAAAAGAATCATATCATTGCATTTTGTTGTCGTTAGCGGGTTTTTCACTGACTAAATCCTCCCCAACCAATGTAGTTGCTTTGCAATTACCACAGTAATTTTTTTTCTTGTTGGTTTATAAGATATCTGTTCAGGACGGAGAAGAAATGGTAAAAGAAAGTAAAGAAACGAAGAAGGGAAAATTCACGAATAATCAATCACGTCCATACAGAAAATCCGTCCATTGGAAACTCTATTACATTCCTGTTAGTAAAGATGTTTACGTTTACAACTCCCTGGTGCACATAACAGAACTTGTTTTTTAAGTCACAGAGAGTAATGGAATTCGACAACTGATGTGTTTGCTAATTACCATCGGTTTGTAACGCCAACAATTATCTAGAAGCATAATATAAATTATGATACAAAAATTCCCAAACTAGAGCCGGTAATGGTATTGGTAGGCACCTTGTTGCGAATTATAGTTGTGGTAGGCGCCTTGAGGAGCATTCGTGTTGGGGTATGATCCTTGTTGAGAGCTTTCCTGAGCATTTGTTCGGAAGGGGCTGTGCGGAGCATTGACTTGATAGGGGCTATGCTGAGGATTGATTCGGTATGAGCTGTGATGAGGATTGAGTTGGTAGGGGCTTTGTTGAGAATTGATTTGGTAGGGGCTTTGCTGAGGAATCATCTTGTGGTAGGAGCCTTGCGGAGCATTTACATTGCGGTAGGAACCAGATTGAGAACTCACATTTTGATCAACAGAAGCCAAGAACGGGCGAAGGATATTCTGTGCTGCATTCACGTGATCAGAACCGCCAATCTCAACAGAACGTTCAAAGCCACCACCTTGGGAGTCTTGGAGCTGCGCTCTTGATATGCCAACCTGAATAGCAATTAAATAAATTAGCAATCATATTGCCTTAAGAACGGTTTACAACAAAAGATCAAAGTCTGCTCGATACAATGAGCATTCAAAATTCAAATTATGCTTATTAATATAAGAATTCAAAATATGCCGTCGAGGGATAAATTCCTTTCTTCCAATATTCCACATTAGAAACTTCCCTTCTCCACAACTGTCATCTTAAGTTGAGGGGAAAAAAGGAAGAAATATATCGAACACAAGAAAATTAAAAGAATTGCTCAAACCAAAACGCTTCCCAATTTTATTAATGCTACGATACTAAAGCTAACTGCCATGTAGCTGATTTGCCTAAGGCACACTAAGGCGCTATTTTTGAGGCTCACTGAGCACAAACTTTTAAAGTGCCTAGGCATGTTTCAGCAGAAGTTGACAATTGAAATTATATAAATCAAACGTATAAGACACCAGTTCTTCGTGAAACAATCACAACATAGTCCATATGCATAACTAAAAACGGTTTCAGAGGTTTTATTGCAAGGCATGCCAAAATGCGCACTAGACCATTGTACTTCTACTTCTAAAGGTCCTGTCAAGAACACGCCGAAGGACAAAATTTCAAAAGGCTAGATGTATAATTTTCTTTGTCAAACATGTTGGTATACTGCCATTTCTCTTATCCTTCACTCCCAAAGGTTCTGAAAATATACCTCCCTAATAGTGGAAAAGCTGCGCCCTACTGTTCCAGGAAAATCTACTGCATTCATTGGGATCTTACCCTCCATAGCATAGTTGACCCTTGGATAACTGGAACAACATAAAACAAGCACAAAAATCAGGGTGATGAAATATGAGCATTACTTTGTGCATAAGTATGAATGCTTCCATACCCAGAAGCAGTTGGAGGAATTCGATGACTCTGTGGTTGATATTGATGTCTACTAACCTTCAAGAGTGGAACAAGGAACTTTTAGTAATCATTCAGACATGTCTTTTCCGCTTATCTAGATTTACTTTACTATTGTATTAGTCCTGATAAGAATTCTGGTGCAATAAATGGGCATTTTCATATGTAAGCTGTGGATCGCATGCACTGTTATGTCTAAGCAGATCATATATCCTCTTAATTTCCTAGAATTCTATCTACAAAGCAACCAGATGCATATAGAAAATTTTGTAATGTATCTAATACTCATACGAGGAAGAAAAGCGTTTTCTGTAATAAATTTGAGGGCAAAATGGTAAATATCAGTTAATCTCATTTGGAGATACTCAATTACTCATTTCTGCAAGCTTCACTTTATGAGAACCATTTCTTGTCATCAACAAAATACCTCCTTTCACCAGTTCTGCCACAACCAGTGCTTTGAGCATGCATTACTTTTAACATGATTATCATATGATGGGAATTGCAATAATAATCAAGATATCGACTCTGATGCTCATAGTGTTACACTATTTAAGACATGATTAACAATTTCAATTGCAGTTCTAAATTATTGAGACTCTTGTGTAATTTGTGACCCTTCAGTTAATAATAAACTCGACACAAAAATAGGTACAGAAGACAAAAAGTTGTCAATCTAATGAAAACGATCAACTAAAAACTAACTGCAAAACGAAGGCAATCAAATCAATACTCCTCCCAACCAAGATAAACCAAAGTTACCAAACTAAAAGTAACTCCCCTAAAATGTTTTAACAATGTTTTGATAACACCGAAATGTTTAAGACTCCCAATAACTACACAGCTAACCGCAAACTTGAGCATAAAGCTCATGAAGTTATAGAAAATTCAAAAACCGTGGGTGGTACCTTCAGAGGATCATATCCACCAGAGCTTCCAGCTCCAACTGCATTAGGTGTTGGCAGTGGTCCCCCACCAGGTAAGTGGCCTGCAAGACCAAATCTGTGCGTAGGGCCAACAGGAGCAGGTTCTGCTCCAGCATTTGTATCTCGCAGAGTTCTCACTCTCAGCCTTGATGTAATCTCAGCCAAAGCATCTTTAGCGGTACCCAAGTTCCCAGAAATCTTAATGACCAAAGGAATAGGGATTAGTAAATAATTGCAAAGTAAAAGTGAAAGTACATAACAAGAAGAAAATGTGATGCAACTGCATTACCTGCACAAGCTCTTCATCTTCAGTTGCACATGCAGGCCTATCATCCTTCGAGTAAACACGGATATCAGCCTGGGTTCTCCTTCTCATCTCATTTATAACTTGACCTCCTTGTCCAAGGAGGCAGCCAACTTTACTTGATGGTACAAGAAGCCTGGTAGCGATTATGCCTTTATCAGAGAATTCACTTGTTACGTTCTGAAGCTCAAGAATTGCCTCAATGGTCTGTGATCTGGGATTCCACAAAGCCTGAAAAAGTATGAGCAAGGTGATCGACTGCTAACATATTGTTGATCCACAGGCACCAGCAAACAGTTGGTGCACAGTACATTGTCCATGCAAATAACACTTCTAAGCCAATATGAAAAGAAGTTAAAGACAGGAAAATGGTCGTGTATCACAAAATGGCATACCTCAAAAGCAGAGACGTGAATTACACGTTCTTCTGAATCCATTGATGCATCCTGAACATGAATAGTGGCTCCTGTTTCCAGTTGTAACTGTTTTACATTAAAACCGCCCTTGCCAATAACCCCACCAATTTTCCCAGTTGAACACAAAATTTTCATAGAAAACTCAGCTAGAGCTAGAGCTTCACCCCCATGTTCAGGAGAAACCCCATTAAAACCACCTCGGGCAAATCCAGAAGAACGGTTTTCATATCCTCCTGTCCATGGCATTGGCGGCATAGTGTGGGAAGGAGCCCGATTAGACAACATTGGATTTCTGGGTGAAAGAGCATTACTCGTCGGGGCTCCAGGGGGATGAAAGACCTGACCACCAATAGGCATAGGAAAGCCTGAAGGAGGCTTATCCTTCCTAGGATTCTGATGCAGTAGAGTAGACACTTCATAAAGTGCCCTCTTTGTCACATTTGGTTTTCCAGATATCTGTCACTTTTGTTGAAAGTTAATACAGGCACCAAAAAAAAGTAACAAAGAACTTTTCATGTAAGTTTCATATATGCATGTTCGGAGATTGAAAGTGACCAACCTACAAAATCATATATTTTTACAAATGTTAAAAGAAGACATGAAAAATCTCAATACACCCACAAGTTTCCAGCAGCAGACTTCACTGGCACAAAGTGACTGCACATGTGGACAACTGGACCACCAATTGTATACATTGACTTATTTAGGGTACATATTTGAGCACCAAGAAATTTCCCAATAATAACATAGGCAGCTAGGAACACATGTTAAAATAAACACAACAAAAAATCATTTCTAACACAAAAATAAGTTTGAAAAAAAATAACTTTAATCAACAGATGAGCTCAAACGGCGTTATAAGCTTTGCTCTGTTCTAATGCCCTCTACACCATACAAAATTTTCTTTTGGAACATTATTTCCTATGATAGAGAATATGCAAGGAGCGCAAGAATAGAAAGAGTACCTGCACCAATTCATCAGTTTCCATAGCACACGTTGGAAGCTGATCTGCAGGAAGGACACGGATACTTGCACCCGTCTCACTTCGCAATCTTTGAATAACATCTCCACGCTTTCCAAGAACACACCCTACCGTATTGTTTGGAACTAGAAGTCTTGTCGTGACAACACTGTTCTCGTTGTCATCATCAAATGTAACTCCACCAAAGAGATCTTCCTCTACAATCCTGGCATGAACTTTCAACAGAGCATTCTGGGCAGCACAATGCGGCTCCATTTCATTTCCCTGATCTGAATCTTCATTGTTATTTTGTTTGCTTGAAATTTTTGTTGGAGAGCTATAGATAATAATTACTCTCTCATCTGAGCCAAGAACAGAATCAGAAACCGAAATCTTTGCCCGGGTCTCTTCTCTAAGGGCTTTGACTATGTTGCCACCCTTCCCAATAACACCACCGATCTTTTTAGAAGGGCAGAGAATACGATACACAGTGTCGAGCGATTGGTAATCCTCTGGAGGTTGCTCACGGCCAGAATCATTCCACTTTCCCTTCTTATAGTTGTTGTTACCCCCTTTTCTTTTAAACTGGATGTTAGGGCGTTTCTTGAAAAAGTTTCGCTTGTTCCCATCCATCATAGCCGGAAAACTAATAACTAATAACTAAGCAGACTAATTTTTAAGCAAACCTAAATACCTGGATTAAACGAAAGAAAAACAAACGTCGCCATTACTGGGAAAGAGCCAAATGACATACTAATTTTCGCAGCAATGAAACTGAACTCCTCATTTCTAATTTCGAACGGAACACTACATTAAAAAAGCTATTGAATTCAAGGATTGCAATACAAAAGTTCAAATATACTTTATACGTTGTTGAAGATTGCAATTAAAATACGTACCTTGATCCTAGTAATGTATTTCCAACGGGCTAGAAGCCGCAATTCGTGTTCGGCTCTGAGCCGTCGCCCTAGGATTCCAAAAACCAAAATATTCAGCTCATATACAAAAATGGAAGCTAAAAGGACACACCCTTTGGGATAACCAAGCTCATACAACATCAAATTCAAGCATTTTCTTTCTGGAAACTAACCAAAACAAATACTGCGACAGAAAAGTTGGAATCTATAGTCAATTAAGAGCAGAAAACAATGTTTTAGATGGAGGATGATCGGAGAAATGAGAAGAAGATAGCACAGATCAGTTAGTAAAACCGTAAAATTGTGGATTGTGGGGAAGTTAACGAAAAGTTTGTACCTTTTTACGTACCATAGAGAGAGAGGGAGAGAATCAGAGGTGGAAGCAGTGCGGCCACAAATTGCCGGGGCACTGGCGGTTCCCGTCTTTGGAGAGAAGGAGAGAGATTAATCGAGGTAACGGAGCTTGGAGTCCTGGACTTGCAGAGTTTTGCCTGTATTTTTTGTTTTTTTGGTGGAAATGAAGGTGGGCTTCGACCCATTTCGAATTCGTAGGAAAGGCCTAACTTATCTCTATTTATTCTTTGTGAATTACAAGAGGCCCTGTGCATGCCCAATTTGAAGAAGGCCCCAAACATTTGAAGACTCTTGGCGGGTTTTAGATTTTTGAGCGAAACAAAGTTGATACATTATATGTCATAATAAATTGAAGAAAAAAAATTAAAAAAAAAATATCCACTTATATTGTGACACGAATTTGTATTTCAGATACATAGATACCTTTTATGAGAGTTAATTCAAACATTCGATGGAGTTGATCCCTTGAGGGATACCTAAAACTTTCATTATTTGAAACTTTAAGATAAATGATAAGATTTAGTAAACGATCCATTCAAATAAGAGTAAACTGTTGTTTTACTTCCTCAACTATTACTCCTTTCTTCAACTTGAGAGGCATTTAAATTTTTAAACGTGGACATAAATAGTTTTCCTTTATTTTAGCTCTCACTTCTCTCTCTCGTCCCCTTCATCCTCTCAGTATGGCGTCGATCCAAAGCCAGCAATGTACAAGCAACCGGGTCCGGGTCAAAGTTTGTGATCTCAGATCTAGTTGTAAATGGGCCGAAGTCAGAGAACTTAGTTCCTGTCTGGATCAGTTGCCACGATCGGTGCTTCATCGAGAGGAGGAAGGCAGAAGAGGAAGAGAACGGGAGAGAAGAGAGGGTGGTAATCGGACTGGATGGGAGAGTGTAGGTTGTCACGTTTTTTTTTTGGGGGTGGGTTTGCTTTCTTATTTGTCTGTTTATGAAAATACATTTTATTTTGGATTAAATATCTAGTCAACAAAGAATTTTATTAAGTGTCATGTGTCGATTTTTGATTGGAAGATTCAACCTAAGTCATCAACGTGGCAAATTTAATGGGTCAAAGGTATACAACGTCATCACTTAGCAAAGTCATTTGACAGAATCCTAACGTAAGTATGAAACTGGTATGAAAATTAAACTTTAGGTATGAAAGTGAGAAGCAAGTGTAGTAAAGTAAGATTTTTGAAAAACTTGAGGATAGTAAAATAGAAATTACCCTAAATTATAAATAGGTCATCTTGCCCCTTGGTTTGTAATCTTATCATATTATTCAATTGAAAATAAAGAGTTTCTATCAAATCTCTAGAGTCCTAGAATTCTTCAAGAGTGATCATTCATAATCTCTTTATCTTATAACTTTAGCGGTGTCATTTACTTGTACGCGATAAATCAGAAAAGTGCATGTTTTAGTTTAAACAAGAAATCAGATCAAGAAGGGGGTGTAGTTGTTCAAATTTTTTTCATTCCTGTTAAGTAAACACGCTCTTAATGATGAATTGGTTTCTATCACTTAGAATTTGACAATGAGACCATTATAGAATTTATAAAAGGATTCTAATAGAAGAATCATATGTATTAGGGCTGGTTTGGTATTGCTGTGCTTTGAAAAAAAGCTGCTGTGAGAATAAGCGGCTGTGAAATAAAGCAGCAAAGTGTTTGGTAAATTTTTTTGTAAAAGTGCTTTTGGAAAAAAAAAAGCAGTATGATAGTGTTTGGTAAATTTTTTTGTAAAACAGTTGTGACTGTGTGAAATGACTAAAAAGGGTATAATACTAGATGTGCTATTAATTTAATTTTCTTAACAAATAAAAGTGAATTACTAAATATATTTTATTTTTAGAAGAAAAATATTTATAAACTTTATCTTAAATATTAATTAGTATGACAAACTACTTTAATAGAAATATTTTATAGTGAATAGCTAGGATTCATTAGTACAATATTGTTAATGTACTTGAAAGTAGTCTAATTAGATGCATTCATCAAACTTGTCATTATTCTATTTCTTAATGCCTCTATCTCATGTGATCCTTCAACTTGATAATTTTGATATTCATCACCATCATCATCACTACTATCGCTTTCTTCGCAAAAGTCTCTGGGGTCATCAAAATGACGATCACGTTCAGAATACCTCTGTACGTAGTTACTAATGTCGGTGAAACCAAAGTAAATGCGTTTATACATTGACTTACTAATGTTAGATGGTCGAGATAAATTTGGCACGAGATGTCACGACGACGTTATTCTTATTAGTAACTGTACGGTAGGAGAGTCGCTCTAATCAAGATATTATCGAAACTGGTGCTTAAGCAAGAATTACATTTGGGGAGAACAGTCGGTGCACATAAGTTATCAGCAACACCGGGTCTTGGTTTTTCGAAATCTCCCTAACAGAGTATTATTACAGTTTCAATAAAATGAGATGCTATACATTAACTTCCGTCGCTGCTGTTTCTAAAAACCAGATTATGGGGTGTCGACGCAACCATAAATACAGACCTCTTGGCAAAGATCTAAAGCAAGACGAGCTCCTACAGCCGCCTCCTCGTGGTTATCTTTCACCTCCAAGTTGATTATCAGCACACATTTCCTAAGAGCATGGTCCCGGTTGTTGAGATCTATACATTGTTGCACACGGGTCAGACAAGCAAACAAGGATGGCATCTTCAAGTTACAGATTAACTGCACAAATCTTCTTTTAGTTTTCATAAAACTAAAAGATGAACAAAAGTAGATGGTGCCAATACTTTTGAAGCTTCTGTTAGAGTTTGGACTATAAGTTCAAAGTTCAAATATAAGTCTGTATGATCCATTTGGTTTTGTGAGTTATATCAAGCGAACGATTATGAAATCAAATCCATAGAGAAATCTGATCAAAACCCAGTTAAGTTATTCAATTTCTGTTTTTTAGGCATTAGAAGAGTCTCTCCCACCTACAGCCTTCTCTGTGAAAAATATCACCACGTATAAAGCGGGCAGACTCAAGCCAACAAATTTTGGCATTCTCTCCTAACATCCAACTCAGGTTTTAACAGTGTCCTAAAAGTTCAAAATTTTCCTGTTCAACATAAATTCTTCCACATGCTCAACTAAACAGAAACTTTCAACCATCCAGTATGTTTTTTTTTTTTTTTTTTTTTTTTAAATCAAAAACTCTCTTGAGGTTTAAACTTTATCTTTTCCTTGAGATTCATTAACCACAAGTTCCTAGAACCAGCATCTCTGTTGTATGTATAAGTTCTAATAATCCTAGGAACCTATAAACTCAAGGTTTCTTACTTTCTTACATTTCCCAAATGGAAAAAGAATCCATTTCAAATATCAATCGTTGTTTGTTACCATCTCCAATGATTACATTAAGCTGAAAGAAATTGCATACCTATAACTTAAGAGCTCAAACTCTACCAGCAAGTCATATTCCAACAGCTCGACAGAAAGAGATTGCCAAGAAACAACACTACCAACACAAAGAAGAGCATTTGATTAATTGATTATCGAATGACTGTGGACTATTGAAATCTAGAAGATACAAGCCAAAACTAGGAGAAGGGAGTTAAAACCAACCTTCAATAACCATGTCAAAAACCTTTTCTTCGAATGTTAACACCACATCAAAGGAACCGTCGGCAGCATTGTCCTGCCATCGCTGAGGTGCCAGTTTGACTCCCAAGTTTCTTTTAAGCATAGGCAAGATGCCATTACGCTTGTACCTGTACTTATCGTCAAGGTTACACTTTGTATAAAAAACAACACAGTTCATAACGTAAAGTATGCACATAAATTCCAGTTCATACATCCCACAATACTCGAGCATTGCTACACAGAGCTACCAATCAATAGTCGTCGTCATCAACTATTCTATACTCTTCGTTAAACACCTCGAACCACAAATATCGAATTTACTCTTAAAAGCCTCAAGGGTAAGTTCATACACAAAATCTATCAGACTGCCCGCTTAATTTCCAAATATTGAAGCTTTGAACCTACAATCTCAGTTGCATATATCAACAGTCTTAAAGTCCTTCTTTTTCTTTCCTGTTAACCAATTTGCTCCTACCAAAACTTTTTGTTCGCACTATTTTCTGGATATTTATACGAATCTATTTCATCACCAAAATATCATATTCCCCAAAACCCAGAATTCGAAAAACCCAATTGAAACAAGAAAGATACATAATTTGAAAACCCCAATTGAACAAAATCGAGAGAACAACAAGTTTAGAGGAGGAGGATACAGTTCGGGGTCTTTTCGCCGGAGATCGTCGAACATCTGCTTGTAAGGTGTGCCAAAGTCGTAAACATTGGGTTCTCTGAGGGAGGGACCAGGGAGCTTGACGTGGGCTCCGGTGCCGTACGACGCGACGTCGAAGCCCTGCCGCTTGAGGAGCGAGTGAGCCTCCATGCTCCGATTCTGGTTCGACGAACACACCATGCTCCATACCCTCATCCCTTTGCTCTTCCCACCCCTCTTTCCCTAATCTCCCCATCCCTAATTTGAAAAATCCAAACAAATAAATAACAAATTTTTACAAGAGAAGCTTACCTGGAGAAACCTGGAGAACGAGAGAACGAGAGAGATCGCTCTGGTTCGGGTTATGTGCGAGAGCTCTGAAAGGTGAAGAGCGTGCGAAGGTGAGAGCGTAGGTGAAGGGAAAGGAGGGCAGTTTTGGGTTATTCAATATTTCATTAAACGTACACTGTTCACCCGTGTGTTTTGAAAATAAGCTGTCTTTATAGTTGTCTGAAAACTTAATTACAATCAATCTGCTTTTTTAAAAGCTTTTTTTTAAATCAACGTCATTAGTTGTCCGTATAAAGTGGCAGACCTCTGCTCTCGCAGAAAAATAACGCTCATGGTTTGACTATAATCTATTATCAGCTGACATTGAGAATCTGACATAAAGGAGGACAACTTTGAAGATCATATATGGTTTCTTCATCGGCTTCTACAAGTTAGATTATTCTCACAAAGACAACACCAAAGCCAGATTTCTTCCCGCTCAAGAAGCCCCAAGAGCATTTAGCAGTGAACTAGATTGGTATTTTTCATCGTTGCAACATGAAACAATGCAATGTTCGAGTGTTTATTAATCACGACCTTTACAAACGGGAGAAATTTTTCCAGGTAACTGGAACACTAGCTGATGTGGTTGACCACCCTTCCACGCCGACCACCCATTATACCAGAAACCACATATCTCCATCGCCGTCCTGTGATTCCACCGACGACACTCCATCTCTTCTCTGTCTTCCTCTTTTTTTTTCTCCTCTCATCTCCAAGGAACTGGTGACACCTCAGATTTTCCGTCAATGACCTCCGATTTACGATCCTCTGGGTTTGTCGGCATTCCTTGTGCCTTATCCATAAGAGAGGAGGGTCACAAATAAGAGGAAGAAACAGTGAGAACAAAGGAGAAATGGAGAGAGAGACGTGAGAGGAAAGGAGGGAGGGGTGGGGTGGGGTGGAGGAAATGAGGGTGGCTGGGGTGAACGGTTCAGGTCTCCGAGAGGGGAGTCGACTAATGGGGGAGAAGGGTTGTGGTGGCGACTTGGGAATTGAGAACTTGTTTATTTTAATTTTACTTTTATAAAAGTTGATTGTGTTAAATTGATATGCAATAAGAATGCAGGTGTAGGCAAATTATTAGTGAAGAACACAACCTGTTGTGTTGAGATGTTTGTTCCAGTCACGTAGAAAAATTTATCTACAAACAAACGCTTTGACGCAAACAGTTTATAAATAGGGATTCCCATTGCACCATTCAGTCATTCAATTCATCCCTAGTATTCTGCAAAGGATTTTGTCAACAATGTCCTTATCGTATTTCTTTTCATAAGATATGGGCAGGATTTCGCCCATTAACAAAAATTGAAGTTCATGCCAATACAGATATTGAAGTTGGAGTTTGTTACCAAATCTAGAACACGTACGTTAATTATACATTCTTTAGGCCCAAAAACAGAAAGAGTGTACATAACTTATTTATCATTATTCTTTAAGCAACTCCTAAAAACTTCCTCAAAAGTGACCGAAACAAATATCAACACAAAATGACTAGAACAGTCTAAGAGAACCGAATGACCAAGGTTTGCCTTTTTTGTTGACCGCAAATATTCCACCTCCGTAAGTAGAAATGAAGATCTCAACAAGGAGGAAAAATTGCATCCATACGAAGGAGACAACCGGAACACTAGCAAGTAAAATGATTGGAACCACTATCCACTTTTTTGAATCCAGCATAAGAAAAAGGGTAGAAGAAAACGCGATCATCATGGTAACGATAGAGGAGAAGAGGGTGAAAAGGCCTATAACCATCTTCGTTGGCAATGATTTAAGGAAATCCTCTTCAGCATAACGCGAGTTGAGGATTCCTAAGAATGTCACCACTGAAGTTGTGGAAGAAAAGAGTGAAAAGACATCAGCAACTATGAAGACCATAAAGATCCTTTTATCTAAGAACACGGGATAGCCTGCCTTGATTCCACCAGGAACTGAGAATACTGCGATAAACATGATTGTAACAATAAGAGCACCTACAACCGTACAAGAAGTTGCTGTTGCTTTCATTGACCTTTCACATTCGGTTGCCAATTCCTTGTGGTTCTTAGTAAATAGATCACGGGCGGTCATGCCATCTGTATAGTTTACAACTTCAAGAAACTTGGCAGGTACAATTTTCTCCACGTCCTGCATTTCAGTGAATAGAAGAAACTCAAATAATTTATTTTCTTCAAAGACGCTCAAATCTAATCCCAAGTAATTAATATTTTTTGTACAAGCCCTTGAATATCCGCTCCTTGACCATGAATATATATGCTCAAATCTAATTTCAAATAACCTAACATTCTGAGTTCTTAAACAGTAATCAAAATTTCATTTTTATTTTGGTTGTTTCCTGTTTGAGAGTGCAAATTGCTGTCACAAATAATCAGGTTTTATTTGGTATGTCCTCCAAATAATCAAGTAATTTACCAATATACCATGTGACTAGCATTTTATACAGTAAAACCTATTTATAGTGGACCTTGTGGATTGCTTTGGTACTAACGTCTCTTTTTTAAACCCTATTACGTCTTAAATTCAAACCCTTATCTATTCAGTCTAACTTAGAATGGTGATATTGCTTGTAAAATTTTAGTTATTTCTTTTAGATCACATCCTAAGAAGAGAGGTGGTGCTTTGAGGCCACGTTTTAGTAGTCACTTAATCTTGTAATCCTTTTTTATTTTTATAAAGGTATTGGTGGTGGGTTCACATATTGAGTCAGTCATAATTACACATGAAACTCGCTATTTATGAGAGTTGAATTTGAAACTTGTTTAACAGTATAGTGAAATTTGATTTCTTGATTAGAAACATAAAATATATAAGAAGAAATTCTAACCTTGAACCATTGTAGTTCTCTCTGCATTTGCATTGCTGCACATGGGATTTGTTTAAGCTGTGCGGGTGGGGATAACCTCGCTGCTGAATGTAGTAAAGTATTGTTGAACTTATCTACTCTGGATTCAGTTCGAACATTCATGATTCGGGTAAATTCATGGAAAAAGTTATAAACTTTTTCTTGGCGGCATTCAATGGAAAACTGAAACATGCTCTTTGCATTTTCGTCATATATCCCTAAAGCTAGGGTATTTGCAGTAAACAGCTGACGAAGAAACTCATCATTCCCATGTTCAACAGCTTTGAAGAGTGCTGTGTGTACGGAACTTCCTTGCATTTGTTTCAGGCTTAAACCTTCTGTCATTTTGCATATGCCTTGTAAAACTTCAAGGGATTGGACATGGATCTGTTTCAATTTGTATATGTGATCGATTCCTAGGTGGACATAGAAAAATAATTAATCATTAAGTATCAAGAAGAATGACTGAAAGAAGTTCTAACCGATCAGTGGATAAATGTTAGACTAAAAATTGAAAGAAAAGATGACATGAAGCATTACCGAAAAGTTTACGGAGAGTTGAGACAAGCCCTCGCAGAAAAGGCATTACTACATTGCGAATACAAAAATGTTGCATTAGATATTCAAAGCATTTGTTAATTAGGTATGATCCATAACAAAGTAAAAGATGCACCTGAGGATATTACATACCTGAGAGAATTATGCGACCCCTTTGATCATTAACCGGATCATTGGCTTGTTTTTGAACATCCATGCGAACATCACGGATCCCAGAAGCATGTGGTATGTTTATACCTATCAAGGAAATAAACACGACTCCAATCAATGTATAGAACTTTTTGTTTTGGTCGAGAGTCTGGAAGCATGAACCTTTTCTTTTTCTGTATAAATATTTAAAAAAATTATATTTTAATCCTTAAATAAGAAGAAGTTTAGAAAAATGTCTTGTCTAATATTAAAAATTGATTTTAGTCCTTAGATTCTATTTAATGCCACCAAATGCATTCAATGTCTTTTTTTATTTATTTTATTTATAATTTTATGGTGTCCAGAATTACATTTCATGTAAAATATTGTAAATTTTAATATCATTTGAAATCAAATCAATTAGCTTTATTTGTGACATTTTCATAACCAATTTATGGTAAGTATCATATAATAAAGAAAATATTTTGGTAGACTTTTCAATACACTTATGTTTTTGCATATTTTCTTATGGGCCACTAATTCATTACAAAATATTTAGGTACAAACATTTCGGTACACTAGTATAGTATAACATGTTTAGGTATGAACATTTTGGTACACTAGTTTGGTATAATATGTTTAGGTACAGACATTTCGGTACACTAGTATAATATGTTTAGGTATGGACTTTTCGGGACACTTATGTTTTTTGCATATTTTCTTATATGCCACTAATTCATTACAATATATTCAGGTACATACATTTTCATACATTAGTTCAGTAAAATAAATTAAAATAGTTCAGTAAAATAAATTATGGTACGGACATTTAGGTACACTAATTAAAGGAAGTTAAACAAAATTAAAGAATTAAAATGTGTATAATGATAAATTTAAAATGTGTATAATAATAAATTTAAAATTTAATGTGGAGACATTAAATAAGATATCTATTAAATATTAAAACAAAAATATAACATGAACTCGAATTAAGTATACATTAAAGAACTAAAATGAATATATAATCCAACACCAGATTTTTATTAAATTTTAATCTTCTTCAAGGATTAAAGTTAAAAAACCCAATAAATATTTTTGTCTGCGAAAAGAGAAGTTTAGGTGCATAGACAAAATAAATGATTAACATAGCAAAGAGTGGACTTACTGCTGGTGAAGACAAACATAAGAGCCGTTTAGGTTTGGCACGTTGTTTTAATATTTCTTAACTTAAACTAGTGAAAGAATGCATAGTGTGGAAACATAAATTAGTTACGCCCGAATCATAGAGTGTCAAGTGGACCATAAGCTCAATTTAACGGGGACATCTTCGCCATCGTGAGAAACCACCATCTCGACACTAATGGGTTAAAGAAGTCAACCTTCTAAAGACAGCAAAAACCCACAACTATCAGGCCCAGGCCCAAATCTTGTCTACATTTTTGTTTTTCTTCGAGGGACATGGTTGTAAAACCCTCGCACCTCACCCCTTATGGAAGGGAAAAGGATCATCGCCGGAT